TTCTAGCACTGAAGATGTTACCTAGCCGGGTAATGAAACGTTTGCAAGAAAACAGTCAAGCTCAGAGAGCCCCAAGGACTCTACAGTTCAACCCTGAGCTACATATATTGTCTTCTATTGGTTCCTTCAATTTCCTATAAAGAAGGGATACTGGCTTAAAAGTCACAAAGAATTCCTCCAGAATCTCCTATTACAACATAACTTCAGAAATAGCATTTGCATTTGTACCAAATAAACCATATAACAAATACTTAAGTTGAATATATTACCAAGAAGGACAATGAGCTAAACCAAACTGATTTCTTAATTCTGTAGATGCTTTAAATCAGAGTTGAGATGATCCATTTTTCACCAGGAATATACAATTTCTGTCAGCATTAAAGGCCATATCAAACAGAACTAAAATAGGTTTCAATTTTGTTATTGTTTGATTTCTTCATTTTTAATTTTTTTTTACATGGGGGGGGAGTTGGTGATAGCAACATTGTATCTTTACACCAAATAAGATGCAGCTTTTTTTCTTCATCAGTAGAGGGCACTGTGACATTGAGACTCCTCTTCGGTGTTTTAGCTCCCTCTATTGATAAAGAATAACACGCTGTATAGCCGGGCTTCTGGAATTCTCTTTGAGTGAAAAGTGGCCATAGGTGGAAACTGTATTTTCTTGTGTGTAACACTTGTATCTGTCTCTCTGCGTTTCTGCTACTTCCTTGGGTTGTGTCTGTGTGCATTTGTGAGTATGTGTGCAATGAGAAGCACAGGGACAAGGGCTGCATATGCTCAGCTCTGGGTCACATGACCAAGAATGAGGGTTTAGTTGAGGACTGTGGGATGGGAATAGAAAAAAAAAGTTACCCATCACCTAGATTAAATAACTATATATGGGGAATGGACTTTAATCCTTTCCTCCAAACCAGAATTGCATTTCCTCTCTTCTTTGCCATGTTTGCTATTTCCAATGAAAAAAAAGCTTCCATTGGAGTCAGTAGGATATTTAGTCCCCTTACAAATTATAGAGGGCTAATTCAAGTCAGGAAGCCTGCAGTGCTAATTATTGTATGAAGAAAAAGATTACAGGGCTAAATCTATAGGAGAATCTGGGTTTTTCATTTATAGTTAAATACTGTATAAGGATTCTGTATACAGTTAATACTGTAAATATAGGAGTTAAGAATCTTACCCTAACTAGATACCTTAATGTAGTAGCAATGCAGAAGACCATTGTTATTTCGAGGAGTTTAAGTGACATAATTTGATTTCTCCTGTACATATTAAGAAATCTCACTTTGAATTGTAATAATGTTTAGCTGACTTGTTTTTCACTTTTATTTAGAAGTGGGGGTGGGGGAGCAAAACCCCCCATCTCACCCCTATCATATCAACCTGTCCCACCCAGTCAAGCAGAGAGGGCATGTTGTGAACCCTGTCAGTGAGAGAATGTCAGCTGGCGGGGCCCAGGAGGAGAGCCTTCTCTTCCATTGCCCCCACCCTTTGGAATATTCTCCCCCCAGAGGTGCGGTAGGCCCCTGCCCTCCCAGCTTTCCAGAAAGGGCTAAAGGCCTGGCTCTGCCAGCTTGTGTGGCACAATGGGAGCTCTGGCCGATCCTGGGGGTGGCTGGTGCCCTGATGACGCTCCCTGAGCTACTTGCCAATTCCACCAATTCTTGGAATCTATTTATTAAGACTTCTT